CCGGATTTTTTGTCTAATCTAATTTATATTTTATAGGTTGTTCATGGGGATGGGCGGAAGGTTAGTCTCACAAGCTCATTGCTTCACATTGCAGATGTCCCTAAGCGCAATCAATAGAGAAAAGCTGATATAATCATTTCAACTTCTTAGGGGGGTTGTATCCTGTATGTCATTTTGGTAGTTTTTCTCACAGGTGGAAATGCCCAACTGGAGAGCGATTATTGATTGAGCTTTGATCGACTGCAGGCGATTCTTCTCTATCTAAGTCATTCCTACAGCCGGTATGTTCCCAGACACTGCTGCACATTTCAACAACTTTATCAAGACGTAGTCGATCTGACTCACGACGATGGTTGGTTAAATCAGGGATCAGCTTCAAATGAGGATCGCGATTTTCTACTCCTCAGCGTCGTTATCAGGCAGTTTCTCCGGTCTTCTGGCCTATGCCATCCTCCACTTGCATGAGACTTGGGGCAAACCTGCTTGGGCCTGGTTGTTTTTTGTGAGCAATTCTGGAACAACAAAAACCTATCATCTAGGTACACCATCGACGAAGATATATACTGATATTCTCTTTTTTTTGCAATTAAGATTGAGGGCGCAGCAACCATGTTATTCGCGACGATGGCCGCATTCATCTTTCCCGCTTCAATCAACACCAATCGACTATTGAATGACAAAGAAAAACAGTGGGTCATGATTACATGGCTTCTATCGCAACAGACCGAATTGGCAACACTTCAGCCAATTCTAACCTTCAGATCAGATGACTGACTATCCAATTTTCCTGTAACCAACCAGGATTCTTACAGCTCGCTTGGCCCGGAAGGCGCCCTCTACCCTGGACCCGAACGAAAAGTTCAAATTCTCTGAAGTCCTGGAAGCCATCAAAAGTCCCCATGTGATCATCCTGACAATCACACAGTTCATGAGTGGAACGGCCGCGTACAGTGTAACTTACTTCACCCCGACCAGTAAGTCCTCCGTCCGCTCATCTTGAATTCCAGAAGATCATTCCCACCCAGCCGTGTTTGGAAGATGCTGATCAACTTGCATGCATTTCGTAGTCGTCCACTCTGTGAGTTATGTATCCAGACCTACTCTTTTTTTCAAGGCCGTAGATCTAAAACAAAGCATATGATTACAACAGCTTGGGTATTCGCCTTCTCGAACTCAACTGATGACATCCCCGCCCTTCGCTGTGGCGTTTGTTGGTAAGTAATGTGTTGCGTGCGTGCTACAGCGGGTATCAACGGCCTCATAACTGACTTTGTAATTTCGTATTTTAGTCATGTTGGCTGGGGGTTATTTTTCGGATCGCTGCCATGCCCGGGCGTTGACGGCTGGAGTAAGCGCTGCTGTTGCGGTATGTTCTGTTCTTTCTACTATAAAAAAAGTCAATTCATAGTGATCAGCATCAAAACTAAGCCGAGTCAATTTTCACATCGGAACGACAGTTTGTTGGCTTCATGCTTTTTCTGCTGCTGGATCCCTCCCAGACGCATGCGAAGTACGGCTCGCTCTTCCTCGCGATTCCAGGCGTTTTCTCGCTGATACCCCCGATTGGTGCATGGGCGGCCAACAACTCTGATGGCCATTATCGAAGAGCAACTGCGATCGCCTTTTCGTACTCGACGTCCACTGTTGGAGGTATACTCAGTACTTGGGTGAGTTTTTATCTGAAAAAACACTGAGTTGTGGAGATGGGACTTCAGCTCGCCTGATGGTCAACATTCTCGTTTAAATGTCGGGGTAGCTTTTCCCTCATTCCCAAGCCCCGAGATATCGCCCTGGTATCATCGTCAATCTCGTTTGGTGAGCAGTTCATCCATTCCAACAATTTGTCACACTTCCCCAAGTGGCAAGATCTAGCCTCTATTTATTTTGGTCGGTCTCTGAAACAAACAAACAACATCTCTTCCAGCTGTGCCGGGAATTCTGCTCGGAGTAACGGTCAACTACGCATGGCTCCGGTATGCCAACCATTACAAGAGCACCCATCGGAGTCGGATCCTGGAGCCTTACGATCCTGATGGCCATGGCTTGGACCCCAATTCACCCGAACATCTGCGCGCTTGGACTGAATTGGGCGTAAAACATCCCGACTTTAAGTATGTCTACTGACCAGTTCTCATCATAAACAAACAAACAAAAATCCGCAATAGTTCTTGCATTTTC